TTGCAAAATGCTCCCGAACACTACCCCAAGAGTCCTCGCAGATCCCCGGAAGCTCCCAACTGTTCCCAACTTCCACGACTAATCTGACCAGGAATCCATCAATGAGGCCACGGTTCAAGAAGAACAAGTCAAGGCCCGACCTGTGTGGGTCCAGGGATCCAAGAGCGATCTTTGGCTACGAGTACGCGCAATAAGCGCCCGTGATCATCATCAGGGTGACGTTGGTGCTCTCAGTTGCCGACTGAGCAGTTGGAAGGGATTCCAGTGGGCACGCGTGTGGTGCTAGAATAGTACGCTCGTGGACGTCGCTGCGGGACCCCCCCCCCCCAAGGGGTTTCAGCAGCTCTCAGAAGCTTCGATGGCATTTTCTGCACACGGAGCCGCCAACCTTGAAATGAGCGACGCACAAACGGCTGAGAGTTGGGATGAAAATTTGAGAAAGTGCTTGCCGACCAGGCAGGGGATGGTCGGGGCGAATCTCGGCGGCATCAGCTTCACTCAGTTTGGGGTGGGACACTTCAGGTCTTTAGGCAGTGAGAGTCGACGCACTTGACAGTCGCGCGGAACCAAGACTCTCACGTGCACAAACTGTGAGCAATCGCAGGCCTGACATGTGGGCAGGATCATGACAACATGGAAGTTGAGCATAGTCGGTCATGGGCTGGCGCTCTGAGATGGTGGCAGTAACACAACTCCTGTCGCCGGAAGCCTTTTGACTGTCGAAATTTGACTGCTAAAGCTGAACCACCCGCCAGGTCCGGCAATCAAACAAGCCCCAGCTTTCAAAATAACGGTCCTTTTTGGGGTACCCTGAACCCAACGCAGCGTATGAAAAACGGGAACCTCAACGAGGGACCATCATGCAGAGAACTTCCCCAAATAAGGCCAGTGCTCGTCGAAGCAGGCTGCCAGGTCAACCAAGAGCCTGGTGCTCAGCTCGTCGCTGAGAACCGGCGGTTGCCCTTTGAACCCCAAAGAACCACCAAGAAATCCACGCTTAACCCGGGGTTTAGGGTTTAGGGTTCAGGGTTCAGGGTCAGGGTTGGGGGGTTCGGATGTGGGGTGTTTGAGACGGCAAGTGCTTCTCCGAAGACACCAAGCATCCGAAGACTCATCACTGCTTTCGTTGTACAGGCCACACTTGAAGTGGCCTCTATGGAGCCCTGTACATGCAAGTAACAGCCACTAGGGGGGGTCGCAAGATCGAGACATCACATTGCGTGACAAACTGATCCAAATAAGCTGTCAGGAAGGGTTGCTGAAGATTCCAGAAGGATGCAAGCCGGCAGCACCTAAGTCTTAGGACCCAAGTGCCGCTGAGCTTCAGCACTGAGGACTTGAGCTCATCCCAGCGCGTCGCAGAGGCCTTAACCAGCGGGGAAGCTGAGTAGTAGTGGAAGGAGGAGCACAAGCAGCCGGCCGTGGCGGTGGTCGCATGCAGGAGGAAAATTAGAAAAGTGGGAGCAGCGGTGGGGGTGGTGGTCACGGTCGTTCTCATGGTCGTGATCGCAGGAAGTGACAAGAACAGATACACAAGGACAACAAGCAGGAGGAGGAGTAGCAGCAACCGCACATCTCAATCTTATCTGCCAATGCGTCGGCTTGCCACATTGCGCAATGAAGACGCAAGCGCATTTGCGGATCCGTATAGGCGGGAGCTCAATTTACCATTGTTTATGGACCCTGCAGGCATGAACCCGACATCGAATGAAATCGACGTGGAGCATCATGCCTTAGCTGGTCTGAGCGAAAGATTCCCCTTAAAGCAGCGTCAGTCTTCAGGCCGGAGAGGCCCCTAGGACAAGTAGTGATCGCCTTGTGCACAGGCATTGCAGCCGTCGGTAGGAGTCACAGGGGTCGCAGTAGACGCAGCAGTAGAAGAAGCAGTAGCAGGCATACCCGCAGTCATCGTCGTCGTGGTGCACGAGTAGAGAGCAGTCGCCGAAATAGGTATCACACTGTGTCTTGGCGCATCGAGAGCTGTCGGAGGCAGTCTAGACCAAGACTCACGTTTCAACAAGGATTTCTCAGGACTTCCTATCCCAACGTCCAGTGGATGCGCACTTGGAAGACAGGTGGTGCTCCAAAGGAAGAAGTACAGACAGCACCGATACCAACAGAGACATTTGAAGACGAGCAGGCTTCCCCCGACGAAGGGCAACGAGGCTCGGTTCATTGATCCGACTAAGGGCAATGCCTCCCAGAGCGTGCGTTGTGAAGCTGGCTTCGAGGATGTGTTCATGGAGCCCGAGTCGTCAAGGATCAGCACCTCGGGAAAACATGGAGAATCGTTCTTCCGAGATCCCTAAACACTAGTTCAGACTTCTGCTATGCCACCGGGTGACGGCTGATGATGGGTCTTCGGAATCAGGAGTTGGGTGGGTACTCACCCAGACCGCGACCAACTAAACGGCGACCAATTGGGATGAGGTAGATTCTGCCTACTGCAGCGACCGAATCCCCCACTGTTCTCAAGGCGCAATTTCGTAGTCCTCCAGAATAGTCAAGTCATTGGCATCGGCTATGGACACCTCGAAGCCTGGGCAAGGCAACGTCTGCAGGGGACAGAAATACGTCCTGCAGCCCCATGCTCCTTATGAGCACGCCCAATATGTGGTGAACACGCAACCAAACGCTGCATCTGCAAATGCCTTTCTTGCTACTCCTGCCAATAGGCTTCGGGACAATGTCGTGTAGCAAGCATCTCTGCCGCCCAGGCGCTGTTCAGGATGCCTTGCAGCCTTTGCAGGCGCTGTGTGCGCGCGGCGGTGCCCGCCCTTCCAGCTGGGGGCTGCAGCGCCGAGGGCATGGCCGCACTGGGCGGCATGTTCGGGTTCCTTGGAGGGGGGGAGATGGGGGGAGCACTCGATTCCATTAGTGCAGCATTAGTTGAGCATCTGCTTTTCTGCAGTGCTACAAGCCGATGCAACTTTGGAAGGCCTTGAAACGCTGACTGCTTCTCCTCAAGAAGAAAGCGCCTCTGACGCCCTGAAGGCCCTGAAGGCCCTGAAGAACCTCTTCGATCCTGAGCCGCCGACATCACAATGCTTTGGCCCAAGGCAGCTCCCGGACCCCTCGGGCAGCTACACTGGAGAGAGCTCAGGGATGCTCAGGGTCGAGGGCTCAAGTCAGTGTACAAAGGGGCTCTGCTGGGGCGCCGCAAGGGAAGCACGTGCCAATCGTACGAGTCGCATGATGGCCTCGATTTACCATCCCTCGAACCATGCTATCGCGTACCCTCCAAGGAAGCGTGCATCTGTTGCGGTGGAGAACATCTTGGTCTGCATGCACCAGCGGCTTCGGTCCTTTCTGCACAGTTGCATGAGTATGACGTGTATGAGTACGACGAGGGCCGGGCATGGATGCTTGGGCGGCATAGCCGTAGCTCCCAGGAGCTGCGGGCGACGCGTTGCCCACATTATTGCAGGGAGCTGCACCGAGGCCGGCAGAGGCAGAGGCCATGGCAGATGTGGAAACGCTGGCTGCCCCCCTTTACAAGGTCCGATGGAACACTCCCCAAACTCATCAAACCCCAACCACAACCTTCAGGCTGTAAAGGCCTGACTGAACCATACTGAATCGCAAAGTCCTATGACGACAGAGGCCAGGCATGCTGCGATACTCATGGAGCCATAATGGCTGCCAAAGATTCGCCAGACGAAAGGCCAAGAATGCACGCAGAAACCGGTGCCCAGAAGTGAAACCTCGATGCTCCCTAGTGTCCATAACAGGTCAGTATCACCAAGCACCCTGGGAGAACAGCAGCAACTGCCGCGATCCTGACAATGCGATTGTGGCGAGACCGGCATGGAGCTAGAATGCTAGAAGGCAACTGCGGATTATTAATGGCGGCGAGCAGCTGCTCGCCGTTCTACAGCACTCTGCATCCGTCAAGTGGACAATCGCAACTGAACTTACAGTGGCGTCCGTTCAGTCCGAAGCCCTAAGCATTTCGAATCGAAGCTCTGGGCATCTGACGTCGCCAGATGACTACCAGCCCGTGTAGCCGCCTTCGCGGCCACACGAAGGCCTCGCGGTGCTTGGGGCTAAATTCCCTGCGCTTCGGCGCAAAGCAGAAGCCGACTGTTACAAGTTCTGCAGGCCGCCTGTCGTGGTCCTCTCCGCCAGCTTTCCAGCATAACAAGTATACTTATCACGTTGCTTTACATTACTCTTTCTAGGGCTCTGGGGGCTAACATGGAGCATGGTGTAGGGGCCTGCCAGCGCTCGACCCAGATCCGCGTCGTGCGCGGTGGAGCCTCTGGAAGGCTTCTGATGTACACTTCAAAGCAATCTGCTGGGTACTCGTCAAAAGTCCGAACATCGCCAACTCCAAACCTGCTCGGACCTGATTCCACGAACCGGCCTGCGCTGGTGTCCTCCAGCAGGCGACCAGTGGACTGCATCCGTCCGCAGTCCATGGATTGTCGAAAAGACCCGTCGGGCTTTAAAGCAGGTGTTGTCGCCAATGGCATGGGGTCACTGAGTCGGGCTGCAGGTTGGAGAGCTGAGGGTCCAGGCATGTCCAGGTGATAGCTCAGGTGTTCAGAGGCCTGGATTCCATTGCGTTGCTGTTCGTGGCCGTTGCGACCCTGGCTGTTGCACCTAATGCCCATCTGGTGCCATGGCTACGTCAAATAGAACCTGTGAACATGCATCTGTCTGTGCTATTGAGCCGCGGAATACAAACCCTGCCTTTCTCCGCGTGACCATCGAGGCATGACAAGCACAGCTCCACAGCGAGAGAGCGAGAGAGGAGAGCGAGAGCGAGAGCGAGAGATAGAGAGCGAGCGAGAGAGGAGAGCGAGAGCGAGAGCGAGAGCGAGGCAGGGTCAGGGGCAGGGGCAGGGACAGGGACAGAGGCGAGGCAGAGACGGAGACCGAGCGACGGGAGACATGTACAATTGTGCAATCTGAAACATGGGTGGCTTCCGCCGCGCCTCATCTAGATGACGTCCCAAACACTGGCAGTAACGGCTCTGCAGCTGGGCGGTCGCTGCCTCCGCGATCATCTTCCGCACCATTTCCGTCCTCTGGCGCAGGAAAAAACCCAGGTCACAACAACGCAACAGCCACCAATCGACTCCCCGCACCTGGGCCACTGTGGCGCTTGCTCCCCTACTTCTGCACGGCTTCTGCACGGCTTAGGCTCGGGTGTCTTCCAGGAGCCCCAGGAGCCCCGAGCCATTCCGAGCCATTCCGAGCCCATCACATGCTTTGTCCACAGACTCCGAACTTCCAGAGAGGATGGGCGATGCTAAACGTCCAAGGCATGCTCGACTGGCCTTGCCGCTGCATCCCTGCAGGTCTTGAGCACCCTGTCCTCGCAGGACATCTTCACATGCGGGTCAAATCGAGGCTTCAACTGCCACATGCACCGACATCAACTGTGCCTTCTGGGACAGGATGCGGTTCAGCTTCCCTTGGGAAAGGAACTGAAGGCCCAGCTCCACCTGAAAGTCCCGACTCAGGGGCTCTCGATGAGGCCGTGTCTCTATCCTACCTGAAAGACCTCCTGGGAACACCTCCCCCTTTGCAAAGCACAAGGCCCCCACCTGTTCATCCAACTGCAAGTCCTCCTTGAACTTCTTCAAAGCTGCCTTGTCCTTGCAGCACTGTGACATTGCGTGGCATATGCGAAGGGGGCTAACCGCACGAATGCTGGCAAATACTGGCACGAGGCTTTCCTAAGACTATGCTGATGCCATCTGCTTGAACCGAACCCGAAACCACAATCGAATTCGCACGTCGTGAGCAGCCCCTCCTGATCTGTGGTGTCCACGGCGTTGAGCCGCAACCCGGCAGACTGCCGCGCAAAAACCATCCATCAGTTCGGGCTGGGGCTCTGTGGCGTTAGGTAGGGTTTGCAGCGGCTTTGCAAAGTTCCCAGGTCTTCTTAACGCCTTAAGGCTCATTCTGGGATTTCCAGGCCCAACAGCTCGGTGCGCCAAGGTCATGATCGCGTCAGGTGGAGAACCGACCTTCCACCAAGTCACCGGCGCACTGCTCCTTCTCGCAGTACCAAGTCGCTGTGAGGGCTCGCATCACCAACCCCCTCGTATCCGCTACCGAAACAACCCTGGATTTTATCCGCTCTCTCCGCTGGCAGCTCCAGCCAAACAGCTGACATGATTCCCGCATACAGAAGACCAGCCAACGGTGCCCAAAAGCGCCCATCTGATCAACTCTAAGCCCAGGCCCGAACCCCCTTAAATAGCCTCCCTCCCCAGATTTCTGCTTGGCCCCGCACCGCCCAGGCATCCCCACTCTTCGGTGGCCTGGAGAACTGGGATTCAGTGGAGGGTGGTTCTTGGGAGGGGGAGGAAGGGGGAGAAGGGGGAGAAGGGGGAGAAGGGGGAGAAGGGGGAGAAGGGGGGGAGAGGGGGAGAGGGGGGGATTAGGAATTTTTTGGGGGTAGGGTTTAGAGTTCGAAAATTCTTGGGGTCAGAGCCACGGCGCCAGCCCCTGCGTCAAGAGTCCCCAAAACCCCACTCTGCAATTCACATTACCAACCCGATGTTTAATCCTCAACTGCTCTGCAAATACCGTTTAGGGCCTTCAGGGTCAAGGTTTTAGGCACAGGGTTAGCTCGTTGGAGCTTTGTGGAAAAGCATCCGTGCACCATGCCATTCAAGGTGGACGTGTCATGTGTTTTGCAATGCTTCGCGCTGCGTCACATGCTCTTCATGCTTTGGCTGTTTAATGCCGATTGCTCTGCCCCAAGGCATGGTTTCTTTCTGTGGCAGGTTGCAGTCTTTTGCGCGTGAAGTGCTTGAAACCGAAAGCAGAAGCACAACCAGCGTGCAGCAAAGGGAAATGCCTAATTAAGCGAGCGCTATCGGGACCTGGACTAGAGTGGAGCACCTTGCACTGAAGAGCTTCCAGTTCCAACGTTTAGCTTAGGGCACCCAATGCACATGGTTTTAAGCACGGACCCTGGACACTTGCAAGGTTCGTCGGGTTCAATCATGCCAAGAGGGACATGGGTCTACTACTTATTAATTACATGACATAAAGTGTCGTGAGATCTCATGAAGCATGTCAGACATGCATGATGTGATTCGTTGCTGATGCTGTTGCTGTCGAGTTGTCCAGTGAGTCAGGCTCATGTAAATTGGCGGAATGGCTTGCAAACTGCCTCTGTTGTGTGTAGCAAGAAACATGAGATTACAGCAGAAGCTTGGCGAAGCAAAAGACGTATGCCTGGAGAGTGGTTGCTATGTACAACCGTGATTCTTCAGTTGTTGCAAGTGCATGTATCGACGCCTTGCTACGGGATGATGGTTTACAATCACAGCTGGATGTCGACAAACCTGATTGGCACCTGATCCAGCATTGAACCTGTTTCAAAGGCCATGGAGCCATGGATGTTTTGAGATATTTTGAGCATGTGGTATTCGCCTGGGATCTTGTAATGTTCATCTCCCTACCGCCACTGACATCGGCCGACGACAGATGGCAGTCCTGGAGGGAGGCCTAAATGGGATGGAGTCGCTTTCATGCAGTTGACGAAGGGTAACAGCAGAAGCAGTACAAAGCCAGATGCATTGCAGAGGCTGTGCGTCTAGTTTGTTTTGATTGCAAGCTTCGAGTTGAGCAGAAGAGGTGCATAGCGTTATATTTTGGAAGCATTCGCACGGTTGCATCTTAAGTTGGCAGCTGACTTGTTCAAGGACAGAGGCCCATGTGTAGTGTGATTTTCAAGCCCATATTCCAAACATGTACGGTTAGCAAAATCAAACGTCAAACCTGGTAACCCTCTTGCCAGGTAAAGGCTGCGGTGGTGAAGGACGAAGGGGCATCTCGGGGAAAGGCCGCCGAGGCTTGGAACCGCCTATGAAGGCACAAGAACCCGCGCTTCTGCGCGTGGAACGTTGGTACAGTGCTCCCAGAGTTTTTCAAGGCAAAGTCGTTGCGTGATTCTGGGGATCTGTGTCGCACCGGAGCTCCTGGGAGCTCCGAGGACCCAGCAGGGCCACGCACTACGACACGAAACGAAAGGATACTGATGTTCAACACACGTAGCGACTAAAGTGACTAAAGCCCTTTGTTCAATCTGTGGAGGCCTGCCGGGACCTCCAGGACTCAATAGACAGGTTGAATCAGTGATGTTCCATGATGTTCCCTTATACATCTTGCAGAGGCTCTCAGGACACAGCAATGTGTTGTAGGAGCCGAGAGGTCGGGCAAGGCCAAAAGCCCGATAAGTTCTTCGACTTTTCTACATGACGAGAAGTATGGCGTACTGTGTCTAGAGTCGCACAAACAGGCGAGATCACTGTGCCCGTCTCGATTTTGTCAAACGCGAAGTTAAGGCCGTTTTCAAAAGTTGCACCACTCATAACCTGCATGCAGCGATACACTTTGTAAGTTCTTTGCGAAACCATTGCAACCACCAAGGCTGCTCACAGGCAGCTTAAAACACACACCCACACACACACAATACACACACAATATACACACACAATATACACACACACACACAAATACACAAATAGACACTCTTGCAGCAGTGCAATGTGCTGTCAACCTCACCCCGTTCAAGAATCTACGTAGCTCAGAAGTGGGTATCCAAGCAGAGCAAGTTGCTACCTTGCCAAAGGATCTGGGACTGCCATGACGCAGCAGCCACGTGGACGTACGCAGCCCCGACTTCGAAGAAGCTTAGCTCGAGGACAAGCTGAACGTGCTGTTGCAGACCACTGATGAACAACTGGCTGCCTACAACAAGTTGAAGCTTGATATCGCTGAGTTGAAAAGCCAAATGACCGAGGATCGGGAAGTAGGCACAGAGAGCTGCACGTCCATCGAGCGTGCACATACCCATGAAGCGGAGGGATAATAACATGTCTTTGTTCTTTAAGCGGAGTGGTAATAACGTGTCCCTGTTCTTGGTCCTGAACTCCTGAGGTCGTGGAATGTTTGTGCAGCTCGACAGATTGGATTCGGGCGCCTGTCAAGTTTTCATTTCCTGACTTGGGATATTTGTTCAGCCGCATAACCTGCAACGTGGGATCCGCAGGATGTTCCAATAAAGAGGTCGAGCAAGCAGTGAGATGTGCAGCATGAACATTTTTGATGTGGTTGGTTTTGCTGTGCCTCGGATTGGTGTTCCGGTAGTTGATACAAGACATTTGCTGAACATTAGGCTTCGGATGCATCTTGCCTGTCTCGACTTGCACAATGTACAGTTTGGGTTCTGACCATTTCCAGTTGTCATGTCAACACGAGTTGGGAATGGATAGTCAACCAAGCATGAATGACCACAGACGAAGCACATGCAAGCTCAAGCTGCTGCCAAAGCAAAACCTACTCCAGTAGCCCATCGAAACCGCGAGTCTCAGACCAAGCAACCCCTAAGCATGCTTACTGCAGAACTGCATGTTGTCTGCACCACAATGGTGGCACAACAGCTTACATGCAAGCACGTAACGGTCTACATGAAAAGCTATTACCCCAAGTGATGCACACATGACACCTTCAAGGTTGGTCATTTGTTGATTGGAATATTTGTCGTGTTTTTGGGTGGCAGTCGTGCTGTTAGGCATCACAGTAAGCCACCAGGCGGGTGCAAGTTGAGCTGACATGGATCATGATGTATCGATTGACTTCAGGATTAGGGATGTAGAGCTGCAAGAGCTACTAAACAAGCACCGACGAAAATATACTAATTCCTTACTAACAACTGTCCAGGCCTGATGCGGGCCCTTTGCGCATGTTATAAGTTGCAAAACGCAAGGTTACAACCTAACTCCTAGCCATCAACATTCTGTGAGTGCACGACGAAACTCGCCTAAAGAACCGACCAACATGCCTTGAACTATGAACATGTCTAAACAAAAACCCTCCTGCATGAGAAGAATCTTATCAAACGAATCGGCACCTGGACGGGGCAGACGGCGTCAATGTAGCCTCTTTCCCCAGCGCCGCCTGCCAAATTATGCAACTCCTGAACGTCCGGCATAGCATAAGGTTGAAATGGTTTACACGATGAAAGTAGCAAACCACGGTAAGATATGCACAACGAAATGACCCAAAAGGCAAGCTACTGCAACCAATTGCAATCCCATTCGAACGTGATACGGAAATGTTTCGACTTAAAACATGTTTGTATATATGTATCCACGATGTATGCACATGTATATTATGTTTCTTGGTTGAGTATGTTTACATGGTCTTGCAAATGCACCAGCAGAAAGTGAAATTATGAAACATGTCTTCAAGCATGATGTAGTCAATGATGGTTCTAACAGAATGAAACGAAAGCGGATGTGACAAAGGCCAGCTTGATGAATCGCCGCGAGCTGATGCCGCGGCACGCCGGCCGAACGAACGCACAGCACACCAATAAGATGCTAAACTCGAACACATGGTTTGTGAACTTTGACTTGTCAATCACGCTTTAGGCACCCCCGAGAAACATGTCACTTTGGTGGGAGCCCCCAAGACTAAACGGAGACGTTGGGTGGCCAACCGAAAACTTTTGGGTGGCAAGGCCTAAACCCCACAAGGAAATGTTGGGTGGCAGACCCTAAATCTTACACGAAGATGTTGGCTGGCAAGCCCCTTAACCCTTATAGCCAAGAACGAGACACAACTGCGTAAGCGTTAGGAAAAAACACAAAAAATCACACAAAAATGAAAAACTTACAACTAACGGAGCTCCCTCCGAGGCTTGTCCTACCCAACGTCCCTTTTAAGTTTTAGGGCTTGCCACCGGCTTGCCACTGGCTTGCCACTGGCTTGCCACCCAACATAAGTCCTGTCACCCAACAGTTCCTCGAGGGTTTAGGGTTTACAGCTTGCCACGCAACACCACCCAACACCTCCTTGTTCTAGGGCTTAAAGCTCTTTTAGGGCTTAGGGTTTGGGGCTTGCCACCCACCCAACATCTCCTTTTTGGGTTTAGGGCTTGCCACCCAACCACCCAACATCTCCTTGTCGGGCTTGAGGTTTATGGCCTCCTACCCAACACCACCCAACATCTCCGTTCATATGAAGTCAAGGTTGAAGTTTGCACCTTGGGGTTTTGCACCCAACGCCCACGATGCCATCTTTTGAGGCTTGCAAGGGCTTCGTGCTTTGATTCGCTGGGTCCATGCAATGGGGAGGGGAATCGGGATGGCATTTCTCCTGACCGGTCACGAACTCAGGGTCCGACAGGCCAGAGCGGGCCACGATTTCAAGACTCCAAACCCGAATTCTTGTGGAGGGGCCACGATTTCAAGCTCCGAAAACCCAAAAAACCCAACACCGCATGTTTCGTGGCAGGGGCCACGGTTCAAGACTCCCAAAACCCAAAAGTCACAAGTCAGCAAGCAATTTTACAACTGAGCAGAAAAATTACAACTAACCGTGCTGCCAATCTCGGACGTTTAGGTCCCAACCTACCCCTTCATACAAACCAAAAGATTGCAAACGTGCGTGGGACAGGAGCTAGCCCGGATACTACTTCTAAAGGTAACAAAGTACTGGCTCTTTCTATAGGACCTTTTCATCCAAAACCAACCATAAAGTCTTCTTGTGTCCCACTCACACGTCCAGTTAATAAAGGTGTGCTCACGAAGAGATAAAAGATATGAATGCAATGAACACGTCCATTAAATCCCCTTTGCCAATTAAAATCTCTTGGGCATTTACTGTATTTCGTTCATACGCTCTTCACGGCCGCTATCATTATTATTGCGTCATGCGAACGATTATAATTAGTGTATTCGTGTACTACACCTATAATTATAATTGAAGTATTTTAACAGCGTGCACAAGCTGATAACAATAATATATGCTTCACGGCGAACTCATGACCCAGCTGGGGGAAAACCCCATAATCGGAGACCACTCGTAACCGTCCCCCAGGAGCTAAGGGGGTGTAAGTGCTGTGGGGTGAAAAAGTGATCCTATTTAGGGAAGATAGCCCCTTACACATGTAGGTGATGTCAAGGAACAGCAGGTGCTGCTATGAGTTCTAGAATTTGGGGACGTGTCCTCCACCAACATTGCAACACGCTGCTCACCTATTGCGGATCATCTGAAACATGCCGATTCGTCGTCACGACACCTCCCCAGAACTACTCTGCGAACTAGCGCCGCACCTTACCTGCCTGCAGATCAGGACCCCACCCAGTAACACCAAAAGTCCTAATGGTTGCACATATCGTTTGCAAACTCCACCGGTCTCGTGCATTGCAGTTCATTGCATTACACCGACCCATGTTCCCCTCTAGCACGACATTGGAGCAAGGGCCTGGTAAAGGATAACATTTGTTGCATTGAATACCTGGCCATAACTCCTAACCACGCGTAGGAATAAGCCCGACAGCTCGTTGCACGTTGCATTTTCCTCCGGAGCAAGTCAGCACCACCAAGGTCCTCTAACGCAACCCCTGCTGTCAGCATGGGGCAGCCTCCAACTGTACTCTGGAGGTGTGGACCATAGTGCCCTCATGGATGTGAGCTGACGGCGACCATCATCAACGGTATCAAAACAAAGCCGCCGTAGCAAAGCAGTTCCAACGACTCTTGCTGCTACTACCGCCAGCAGACCCCTGATGTGGACTACGAGGCATCAAGTCAGGGCAACGATCGCGCACAATCAGAAACTTGACATGTAAACTTTAGAGCTGAGCCTCACTGCTGCAAGCCTGTAGAAGAGGGCGGAAGAACCTGCGAGCACGAGTCCATAGAGTGACTGAGTGACTCCTGTCCATGCCTTCTGACGAACCTTCTCGAAGATCGCCTGCACACAGAGGCTACATCCATCCAGGCCTCCGAAGCTGAGGCACGCGCCCAAGCAGAGCATGAAGCAAGTAGGCCTGCCACCATCCACGACGCGAGAACCTCTGTGAAAACGCGCGCCGGGCGAAACATATACAATGTCGGTCAGCAAACCTCAAAGCCACCCCCCTGAACAAGATGCCCTGAAAACATGGCTGAAGTCCGGCTTGCGGCAGCGCCGTCAGACCACTGGCACGCACGCAATGTTGAACCATAACCGGCACAAGATCATTGAAACACAACAAAACCCACAACAAAATCACGTCAACTCCCTGCAGGCCCTCCGATTCCTGCCCGAAAACAAACAAACTGTCCGCTGTTCCATGACACGCTCAAACCCTACAAAAGCAACACACTTAGGGCTACAGTCGCTCACATTCGCGACTGGAAGGTGCACAAACCTTGATTGATTGAAAATTGTCCTCACAAAGGTCTCGTGGACACACACACGTGCACCAGCAAAAATCTGAGACCCGGCGCACGTTTAAGGTCTCCGTCTCCCCACTCACGTTCAGAGCGCGCGACAAACCTGCAGCTCAGCTTCTTGCTTTGCTCGTCGCTGCTCTACAAGATGTTGTACCATCCGTCGGACGTCTTCTGCAACGCAAGTCTTTCGCGGAAAGCCTCCGAACAATCCAAAAAGTAAGGGCGGGGCGACAACCGAGTGTGAAACATCATAATACGAGAATATCGAGCTGCAACCCTTCTAGCCGGGACCGATGCGGGGGCCAGGGACACTTCGTCGGATCAGGGCACCATACGCACATTATTGTACAATGTCTCTACTCGTCTCTCTGTACCATGACGAAGCATGCAACATGCGTTGGAAAGATCCAGCTGGTTAGGTGTAAAATGGTTGACCAATAGGATATCCAAACAACGTCTACAACACTCAGATCAGCTTAACAACATTAAGATTCATAAAGTACTTAGTTTTCCAGTTCATAAGTTACACAGCCATGGAACCCAACACCACCTCCGGTATTTTCACTTTGCGACGATCACTCCTCCAAAGTTGGGCGAAATCAAGCGGAAGCTGAAGTTCATATTCAATCGCGGTTGTAGCCTCAACGTCATTTATGTCTGTTGGGCAACAGTTCGAAATGTCGACATGGGGTTGATTGCTCATTGGGTCACATTTATAAGCCGTAAACAACCCTTGCCAACAAGAAAGGTCTTACATGGAGACAAAGCTGCCTGCGGCAGCACTTCAACACAATGGCTGCGCGGGCCTGGGAAGCCAGCTGTCAACTTCACAGCAGCGGACTGTCCAAGTCCATGGCTTTTGCCATAGCCCTAAACCCCAAACGCGCATGCTCGAAGGTTTGAGGCTAGAGCTCACCATGCGCGAAAACAAGGGGGCTTTGGCTTGGCGCACGTGTATGATTGGACGTTCCGCTTGCGCTGGGGCCCTGCGGTTGCATCGGAACAAGGCTGTTCATCACGTTCTGGCGAGAAGCCTTGCGACGTGGGCAACGAGGCTGGGCCTGGCGTTGAGACGCAAGCGGCAACGAAACTTGCACCTCTAACGCCGAACTCGCCATCAAGGAGGGTTTCGTCGTGCTTCACTCTTTTGCTTCGGCTGCCTGAACCACGGGCGAAAAGGCCATGGCGCCTGCACCCGCTACTGAAATTCAGGCCACTGACAGCTGAGCACAACAGCTGCCAATGACACACACGGTTACGCGCGCGCAAGTCCCTACTCAACCAGCCATTCTTGCGCATCAACACCAGCTTCTACCTTCTGAAATCCAACATCAGCGCAAGAGCGACACAGTAGAGCGCGTGCGCAACAACATGCACATCGACGACCTTTACACACGCGACGCCTGGATAGAAGCGCTCATGAACTATACTCAAGCACCCAACTGCGCAAGCCACTAAACGTCACGCAACAGTTGCTTGCTAACGTTGCTAAAAGTGACTGCGAGCAGGGTCCCTGATTTGGCTTGACAAGCGGAAGCTGCGGCAAGTGCGCCGACTGTTTCTCGCCAGGGGCCTGGTCTCACGCCGTCTCCGGCTTGTGCATTTGCGGGTCAAGACTCAAGGTTGCGAGACTTTGGGCTTGCGCTGTTCCAGGTCGCAGTGGGGCTTCAAACGCGCAGGACTCGGGAGCCGCGCAGGTTTGAGAGATCTCAAGATCTGCCGGGTGTGGGCTTTGACTGACTTGGGCACGCCTAGGCAAAACTCACGACTGGGCTGAAGCAATCTGGCGGAGAAAAGCTCACGTCGGCGCACCATCCAACCCGTTGCGCCTTGTCTCAGCGCGCGCTTGCCGCTTGCGTGTTTAAGGCATAATGATGGGTGAGGGCGACGCTGTCATATTCGCGGTATTGGACTCCATCATTGTCGGCGTGCCATCCGAGACACTGTGCTTTGCTTGCAGCGCCGTACGGCGCGGTCAAACACTGGTCGAATGACCCCGCTCACGCTGCACGATATTCTGGGGGCGCTATCGGGTTAAGAAGCGAGGCCTGGTATCGGTGTTCTGGCCTGCAAGCGCGCGCTGATGACTAGCACGCAGTCGACACTTTGCATTGCATTCTTGCACGCATCTGCGCGGTGCTTGCAACGCACGATGGAAAGGCGCGAGGTGACGCAGCCATTTCCAGGCCGTTTTCGTGCCAGGCGGGAGGCGCTTGCGTTTTTACGGCTCAGGGTGTCCTTTCTGGACCCACGCGAGGTCTCTTTTGAAAATCGGCCGGCGGCCACACCAAAGTTGACGAAGGCACCCTTCTCCACATAGTAGGGGTCAGTCTCCAAGTAAAGAAAACTCATCAAGAATTCACGCAAACCAAGCCAAAAACGGGGGAGCAGGCCTAAAGACCCAAATGAGAGGGGAGGGGGAATGCTCGAGCTAGTAGAGCCTAATCATGCAACAGGATCTTTGCATCCCAGCGCTTAAGCATTTAGTCCTCAGCCTCTTATCACACGTGCGACTGACAGCCCTAGGCCACCCAAGACACACACACACACACACAGGGGAACTCTCGGCTGGGGCGTTCCCACACAACATGCTGACAATGACCGTTTTCTGCGCGACAAAAAGGGCAATTAGGATAGCACCGCTGTAAAGCAGCAAAAGCACCCGGATCTACAACTGGGAGAGACCCCTAACATTATGGAATCTTTGGCTATTGCCAGCAAGCACGCGAGCCGCGTTACAGCGTCCAGCACTGTAAGGAACCTCTTGCACAGGCAGAAGCGCACCGCCGATCATCGTGTGAGCCGGTCCGTCTGCTCAGTAGTTGGCCTCGGCGCCACTTTCTGGGAGTCTGCGATTGCCTACACGCATACTGACGTGCCTCACAAGCGCAGGTACCCTAAGCCAATTTAAAAAACCCAGGCAAACATCGCCCATTTACTGCGTGCGTGCAGTTGGCGAATCTTAAGCTGATCCGCCCGACACGGAAGAGCGCTCACCGAACACTCACTACTGTCAATAACATCCTGAGATCCTATGTAACCCTACAATCACATTCTAGTCTACGCGCAAACTGCGCATGCGGCTTGGGCTGTTGTCACGCGGCACACGAATGAGGGAAGCGGCACGCAAATGGAGCGTTCTCACCTGAGCCTATCAACAGCGACAAAACATTACGCAACCCGACAATTAACATTCCACCTGGGCAACTTTAGCGGCTCAGCAGCCCAAAAACCCTAAAAAACCTAGCCCTACACCCCAGACCCTAAACCCTAAACCTTGAAAGGGTTTGGGGTTTAGGGTCATGTCATGCTGCCACTTCTCTGCCAGTGGCTTCACCACAACGTATCTATCTGTCCATTCCCGGCTGGGCTGGTGCTGGGCTGAGCCTGCCGCCGCCGGTGGGTTGCGGGCCAGGGCTGCTGAGTGGGACGGGCTGCAAGACCCTCACAAGTGTCACCAGGCCAACAAAGCTGCCTGAAGGTGTTGTCAACCCCAACACCCCAGCCCCCACCCCCACTACTGGGCTGAGTTGCTGCACTGAGGGCTGGCCTGGGCTGCTGGCTGCTGGGCTGCCGCTTGGAGGCTATGTTGGGGCCGGGAACACCCTCTTAACGGCTCTTGGAGCCGACGTTGGGGCTGACAACACCCTCTTCTTGGAGGCCATGTTGAGGAACCCCTCTTGGAGATTATTGGATGTTGGGGCTGACAATACCCCTCTTGGAGGCTATGTTGGGGCTGGCAACACGCCTCCTGCGAAGTCTCGGAGCCGAGCGGCCCAGCCCAGCAGCCCAGCCCAGCAGCCCAGCTCATCAGCCCAGCCCAGCAGCCACAAACCCTAATCCCGAAACCATAACTTCCGTGCTGCACGCATTTTATCCACGATGAACTGTGTTGGCGACCAGTACGCGCTGGTGAACCCGGGAAACGGACCATCACGGGAACTGCACCAATCGCAGTTTCACCCAAACCCGCTGCCTCTCAGCAGCTGGCGCGAGGAAGCCAGCTAAAAATGATCCGAAAAAGCTGCAGCAAGAGCTGACAAAAACACACGAGTCTCTTGACAACTGGACAACAGCATCTTTCCGTCGACCACCCGGAAAGCTATTGCAAGCTGGCCTGAGATGAGGTGGACCCTGTCCTTGGAAAACTTCAAAGCAGGCCAACGATATTTGTTGGCAGATCACGAATTTGAGGTCAGTTCTGAACGGGGGCATCCTAAAGAGAAAGCAAATCAACCTGCTGAATCTGAAAAGAACGGTCTTCTGACCGTTCAAAAAACCGCGTGAGACTTGAGCACACCTAGAACCACGGAACCTTACTGGTGATCCAAGACTCAGCACCTGCTTTGGACACATTCCAAACCCGCCGGGGCCCTGTCGAGTCCCCCACAATCGGCCCCAAACCTCTGAAGCCGTCTTAGCCCAGTCTTCGCCCAGGCTTAGCCCCCAAAGAGCTTCCTCCGGGCCAAGGGTCCAGGGTTTGGTGTCCTCGGGCGCCTTGACCTTCGACGCCTTCCGGAAGGGGCTCTCGGGCTTGGGCTTGGGCTTTGGGGGGATCTTCAGGCATTCTTTGGCTCAAGGATCTTGGGCTCAGGAGCTGGCTTTCCTTGCGGGGGTCTGCAGGTCTATTGTGGTTGGGGGTTTGGGCTCAAGGTCTCTAGGGACGATCTAGGCTTGTATGCGCAGTGGAGCTCCGAAGTTTGAGCGTGTTGCTGGCCCTTCTGAGCCGCGTCAGCTGTACTTCACAAAGAGGCCCCGCCGATTGCTGAAAGCAGCGAAGATGGAGCCGCCAATGCTGCCCTAGGCCCTAGGGTACATAAACCTGCCTACAAAATCGACAGGTCGGCTGATCGGGGTAGGTTTGAATCAGCGAAAGCGAAGTCCAAGTCTAGATGAGCCAGATGCGCGAAAGGGCGTCTTTTGAGGTTCTTCGAAAACACGAACAAAGTTGGATTCAGCTCGCGGCCTTCTGCTCTTCATGCTTGCGACGCTCCTTCAGGGGGCAAAGCGGCAAAGCGGCAAAGCTCGAGTTCCAGATTCGAAGTTTCGCCTTCGCGCAGGCTTGGACAGTGTTGGCAGGCGCTTTGGGTGTTGTGCCCCTGCCACTTCGGCAGTCACATGGCATCTTTTGTAAGGTCCTCCTGCTGTTTCTTTGCAAGGTGCTTCTGCAAGGAGTCCCTGAGGCTCTTGGAGATGTTCGTAGTCCTGGGAGGCTGTGCTTCGCCCTCAGAACTCAGCTTCGCACACTGGGAAATGCCTTTCTTGCAACATCGCATTTACACGGCTCGGAGCCATGCTACCAAAGCCCAGTTCAAGCCAAGCAGCAAGCTGCCCATGTTCTTGCGAGCTGGCGGATTGAAGGCCTGTGAGTGAGACACACACATTGCAACTTGGTTCTTGGAGCGCGTTTGGTCACCAAGAAACTTTCCTTGGACTCCTGCGGTGGTGCCCTTGCGTTTGGGGACCATCGTAAAGATGCTTACAGTAGTATAATGGCCATGTTAGAAGCATAGTGAGGGAAACCTTCAGGGGCGCAACCTTAGAGGTACGAGTCTTAACCCCTTGATTCCCGGTTCAGGAAACGGAGCTCTGAACCTCAAGTCTTCACAGTGGTCGCGCTCATTTTTTGTGGGGTGAACCAGCGCACGAAATCAGTTTCCGCTGGGCGGGGCTTGTGCCCACGGCCCTTTGCAGATCCCCAAGTTCCTACCATTTTTTAGACGTTCCTACGTGTAAGAGATAGCACAAGGGGATACTGAGCTTTGGCATACTGGGCCTGGGAACTGCCCTGGGAATTGGGGTTGGGTTAGGCCCTGCATACAGCTGTTGCGAATGTGCAAGAGTCCCTGTCGCCCGCGGGTGAGACTTGTGAACGTGCGAAGCATTCACTGCAGACGCCATCTCCTGCCCGCAAACCACGTCACATGTATTGAAACCAGCACCATCAGAACCCCAGCCGACAAGCATCCGCATGCCATGCCGATTTTATTCACGACTCAATGACCCAAGGCCGGGAGCTCGGACCCTGCATACTGCGACAGCAGGTAGCGGGCAGTCAGACAGCAGGTTGTATAGTTCCTTCCACCTGCGCGCTAGTGCTGATGATCAGTCCTCTCAGGCCCGGAGGGCCCCACTCGAGGCGCTGCGCCGGGAGAGGCCTTTTCATTCGAGTGCTTTTTGGCATGTGCGTTCAGGTGAGGTGGGTAGGGTGGTCCCTCAGAGTAGCCCCGAAGTGAACCCACTTGCCTCAACCGAACAGCTTGTGCAACATGAACAGAAACGAGCAGAGGTCATCGCCTCCGGCTTCGCTTGCAGGCATGTCGAAACGGATGGTGTGGTGGGCATCCTGCATACCGAGCGAACACTCAACAAATGACGGTAAGACAGCCAGACTCCATGGACCAAAGCAGGTCACGTCTGCAGATGCTTTTGTGGGGCAGCTGCCCGACGACCAGGCAGCTGTGCGAAACGACCTTTAAGGAACCCCCTGGCGTTGGCCCCTGCCCCAGCAATCACATCATCCAGATATTGCATCCTCTTGAACAACATGAGCTGGTGCTTGTAGCCGACTGGAATCAAATCAAGCGGGATGTCCAGGCGACAACCAAAAAATGATTTAGTAAAAGCACGCCTTCTAACAGAACGTGTAAAGAATTGGCTGTGGGCCTGGGAGCAACAAACTTCAACTCCGCGCCTCCACACCCCCCAAACCGGGCACCATTGCAGGCGGCCTTAGCCGATGATGCAGCCAAGCAGAGTGGAAGTTCCATAGGAGGGGGCCATTTCATCCACGGTGCTTTGCCAACTTGCAGCATGCCCTTCTTGGTAGGCTTCTCATTGAATCATTCCAAGCGGGGCATGCTGTGCAGGCCAGACAAGTTGAGCTAGAGAATTGTTGCAGAGATTTCATGGTCTCAAGACCATCGGCCTGCGCCGCAAACCGTCGTCTTGACTCTTGAGAAAAAGCATCAGATGCATGCAAGCCACACAGGCTGTATCATCTCTTCCTGCCCACGCAAGACATCAAGAATGCGCAACGTGTTGGAAGCGGTGTGCTGCAAGCTGTTCAGCATGGTGGCATGCTATTGGTTCCGTTGAAACTTATCACGTGAAGCAACGTATGTATGCTAATAACCTTCCTGCTGAACAGCAGCTGTGAGGAAACTTTACCAGAGCATGTGCAGCTTTCCCGGGCTTGCCTGCGCCATCCGAGCAGACGGCCTATCAAGGGAAGCAGGAAACGGACTGCCAGGTCCGACGACGACGACGACGACGAAAACCTCCTAGACAGAGGCCTGACACCTTAAGTCAAGCACTCGAATAACCCTGCCCGTGCAGTCCTGCCTCTGGCTTCCCTGCTCCTGCATATCGGGAAGCCTCCCGCATCGATCCATTTCGGGGGCAATTACCGGGGCAGGTATTGAAACATTGGAGCCCCTGAAGGAACCGCAAGAGCAACACGGCCACGAACTTTACAAATACGGCTATTTCTCTCAGCGAATCTTACCATTGGCAAGTATTACCAACATTGCCATTGCAACGCACCACGTGTTGAGACTGCCATTTGATTCGTCGTCTGCCTTTCTTAACAGCCCAGCCTTTGGCTTGCCTCCGGCAGGGCAGAGCACAGCCTGGGTGAGCTGCTAAGAGGCCTTTAAGCTCCCTCTTAGGTGGGGGGAGAGGAGGGGGGGGGGTAGGCTTCCCCCTCTTGGGGAGTCCCCCTTTTTGTTCTCCCAAAACTCTCCGAGGCCGCTGAGGCCCCGAAGTCCACAGAGCTCACGGCTTCGGGAGATCGTTCCATCGAAGATCTCATGCATCACATTTAGTGTCTTGTCAGGGATTTGCGTCCATATACTCTTTGTTTGGGGTCTCTTCAAGTGTTTGTATGTACAAACATAACCCCACTAAAACCTGACAAAAATGCAACAAAACCTGACAAAAACCCAACAAAACCTGACAAAAGCCCAACAAAACCTGACAAATGCATCATCTGAAAAAACACATAATCGCCATCAATGAAGGCAATTTCTCGTCGCACAAATCACATTGAGGGTGCTTTCAGACATCAGTCCAAATCGGACATGGGGTGTGCAAACCTGGGCAAGCAGTGTTCGGAGCACTACAGCCTGACATTTTCCCACTGCAGCCTGACCTTTTCCCACCCTTTGATTGATAACTACATCCTCACATTTTGTGGCCTCAACCTCACCTGACATAACTTTCCCCACTACAACCTGATACTTTCCCACCAAAACCTGACATTTTCCCACTAAATCCTGACATTTTCCCACTAAAACCTGAAATTTTCCCACTCAAACCTGAAACTTTCCCACTTTTCGGGTGGCTCTGGCACACCAAAACAAACATAGACTTGAGTTTAAAGGGGAACGAAATGCTGCCCTTTTTTGGAGCACTCCCACTTTTCGGCCGGGTGGATGAGCAAGCAGTGGAGATCGAAGAGCCAATTCAGACTGCTGGGTTTAGGGTTTAGGTTTGACGACGCCAACGAAATCCCAAAACTACCTTGGGAGGGAATATGTCAGGTTTTTCCGGTTTGTGGCAACCCGTTTTTTCATGTGAAGAGTACCCTTTTTGAAAGGCACAACACGAACATCTAAGATCTTGGTTGCGGTACCCAACATCCAAGAGATCACTCATGTCAAAAGTCGATAGCTTGGTGCAGAATTTGTTCTCAAAACAAGCAAACGAGAGGACCGAATGGAAGCAAACGTTCGCTAGTTTAAGGGTTTTGGGCCGTGAGGATGAAAGGCAAAAGGATGTGATGCAGCTTGTCAACTGTGGAAGGGACAAGAGTCCGCAACTATTTTCGTGACCTGGCGTGCAATGATCTATATATTACTCCATCCCAAGCCTGAGTCCACGAAAATCGAACTCGCGGTCAAGAACCCAAAGCTGGGAGCCCGGACGCCTCGCGCTGCAGCGCGGCGGACCTGTACTCGACGTGGGTTAAACAGTGTGGGTTGAAGCAGAGGGCTTAGGATTTACAAAGAGGCAGCAAGATCAAAAATCAATGAGAGACACTCGAGCAACACCAAAACAAAATGAAAAACAGTGGGCGAACCGAACAAGCCAAACAAAAGGCAACCGAAACAGCGAAAAACATCAAACCAAACGCCTTCACAAACCTCAGGCTTCTCAGCCCAATCAAGCCGTGGGATGCAGGTGCTTGATGTACAGATCTGGCAAGGCGAGGCACTCTGCGAATTCCTCGGGAACAGTGAAGGTGCGCTTGCCGGCCGGCCGGAACCTTGGAAGCAGGCTCACTGTGTTCACAAAACA